TCTCTCTCCCTTCCCCTCCTCCACCCAAAATGAGGACCATCACAGTTGTGGAGTTTATTTTTTCCTCTCCTAATTTGCAATTCAATTGTGAATGCTCATTAAGAACTTGTGATACCAAATCTTCAGATATCTACTTGGAAGAAGATGGAATAAGCATACTTAACAGTGAACTGACTCTTTAATTATGTATTATAGCTGTAATATATTTATTTTTGTTTAAAGAAGGCTTTCTAACAATGAACTGACTAAATAAAGGTGTCTGGCCCTGTCTTGGTTTGAAAGGTGCGTTGTGTATATTGTGCTTTTGCTGGTGGATTGAAGGGATTGGGGAGAAAAAGTCCAAAATTAAAAGTTGCAGTAAATAGACCACTAATTTATAAAAAGAAAAGTTAACTAATCAAGCATTGCTCTCAGTTGAGGCTGGTAAATGCTTCTGAAATGTAGATGATAATTGTTATGGGAGGAAGCTGTTTAACTATTTTAGGCAGACTTGGGAATCTAAAATCGTAATTACAAACCTTATAACCAATGATTTACATGTAAATTTGTAGTTCATCTAAAATGAAAAACTGTAAGGAACAATACATCAAAATAGGATTTGTATTAGTGCATCTAATAATCTGTCACTGGATTTGTTTTCACTGCTTTTTCTTTTGCTCTTAGACTACTTCAGTGTCAACCCAGGTATTTTTTTAATATAATATCTCTTTGTTATATTGTAGAGAGAAGTACAATAACTTGCCTCAAACAATCACCTTTATCCCTTCTGGATGCTTTGGCCACATTTCTTTGAAAAGGGAGATGTGTGTCTTTGGGCAATTTAGCAGTTACAAGAGATTATGGGAAATATTTGATATATTCATTGGAAACCACACAGAAATAAGAATGGATTCCTACGCATGTACAAACTACAAAAGCAAGGACCTCAGAGGTAGGATTTACAAGAGCACTCATTCTGAAGTACAGAAAAGAATGGATTCTCACTTGAGAGAAGGACTTGCTTTATTTGCCACAAGTTCTATCCACGGCTTAGTTGGATGTCCCTGAAATGGATGCAGGCTGAGCCATCATGCCAGAGACATTGTGTTATCTTTTTATGTTGTTGTTGTTGCTGTTAAACTATGATCTGTGATTTTTTTTTGAATGCTTTAAAAAAAATCTTTAAGTCTGTGGATCTGCTGATGTACAGTGCCTTTGCTGCTATGGATCAAAATCAAAAGAACTGTGTAGATAAATCTTATTGTATAAGTAGAAAATTACTTAATTTGATACTAGAAATGGATTGATGCTGCAAGTTAAAATGGACTGTTCATTGAAGTTCCAAATGTGGTAGCAAAAAATGGTGTCTTAAGTGCTTAGTGTTTGATGTCATTAACAGTTTCGTAATACTCTACAGTGTAGAAAGATTTTGATACTAAACTGTGTCATTGTACATAGTTCTAATGCATTGTATTGACCCACCAGTACTTCTATAATGGTAGATTATTGTTTGTGCATTCAGACTTTTAAGCATTAAACATAAGTAACTTCTAAGATGTATTATATTTTCTGTTTTTTCCCCTTTTTGGATTGGCTAACCTCAGTAGTTGAACAGCTTGGTGTAAAGAGTTATAGGCAATAGAAGAGAAAGTTTTCAAGTTACACAACATACACCCATGGGTGTTTTAGAAAAGAGCAGTCTGTTTTTCAGAGTACACTATTCATCAGAATACCTAAAGGTATTTTAATGCAATGATTCTCATACTTAAATGCAGTTTTTGCCTCTCGTTGATCAGAGGGAAGGCTCGGGGCCTATGGCAATCAGCCTCAGGGGTTGCAAAAAGGCAAATCCTATGCTTTTCTGCAGAAAACGAATTTCAAGGATCTCTGCTGATGTCCTGTCAAGCTTGGGGTGCCCAAGACCTCTTCTCTATGTTGGAATGACTTGTGTTTGATGGGTTGCTAATGTACCCACAAGGTGAATGGGAAATGGGAAATGATGTTGGTTTAGAATTTAGCACCCAGGCTGTACCCTGAAGGAACTGATTCAAAGTTCATCGACATCATTGAAAAGATTTTCATTGACTTCGGTGGACTTTGAGCCTACAAACTCAATCGAACACCTGCTTTGGTCAACAGAAAGACTATTGTTGCTTTCTGGGTATAGGTTTATGAATAGCTATTGGAAATCATTGCTTTACTAAATTAAAATGGCACTTTACCACCCTGAATCAATGACTAGTATTGTAAATAATTTCATAATGCTTATTGGTAGAGAAGAGTGGAGGGGGATGTACTAACTTTTCTTTCACAGCAACTGGTTGCTTCAGGATTACAGTGAAGAAGACTTCACAACATGTCTTCCATGCTGATGTAACTTTTGTTGTTCATGTGTACAATCTCTCTGAAAGGAGGTTCTCATCTATCTTAGTACGTCAAGGCTACACAGAGGTAAACATGTTGTAGACATTTTGTTACTTATTATTCATATCTGAAAGGATATAATTTATCTGCTATTAATTTTGATAGTTCCCTATTATTGTCAAAGATGTCCAGAAATTTGAAAGATTGGTACATATTCCACTCATTTTAAGAGAAGGAGAAATCATTTGCTCAACGTCCATAGCAGCATGTCATATTATTGTATGTTGAAGCACACGAGGCCATTTCAAATGCCAAAAATAAAGCCTTTCATTCTTTAAAACAAAATTCCATACATTGCATGTATTTCCATCAAAGATTATTTTAATTGTATAGTAATATATTTTAAAAAAATGACACCTACCTACATATTGTTGTTTATGCTGATAGTCTTTGAATATTTCAGTAAATCAAATACCAAATATCCTGATTCCCTCCCCCTGCAGTTTTTAGAGAAAGTGAAAAGTTGCTGAGTTACAGATATTTACCTAAAAATAAAAAGCTAGTAAGTTCACATGCCTTTTTTGGTTTTTCTATCGCAGTGGAGTCATTCTTTTCTTTCGCAAGGGTATTTTGTTGCTAGCACCACCCCAGAGTTGTTTTGAATTTTTCATGTTCAGCATTTTACATTTGTTTCCTTCTGTTTGTTTTCCTCTGTGTTAACTCCTGTTAGTTATTTGATCCGTTAGAAAATCTTCGGTATTTTTTACAATTTCTGGGCATTATAACTGTGTTTAGGAGACACTGTTTTCTAAAAACATGACAATATGTGAAATTGTTGCTTTTGTTTGCCCCAAGCACAAAAATGTGTTTAATTTTTGTCTTTTTTTTCCCCTGTTCTTTTAAGTTATTCAAGAGTAAAAAAAGAATGTTTTCACCAGCTATCATTTTCTATACTAAGCCTTTTTTCTTTTTCTGGAATGGCAGTCCTGTACACTGTGCCCATGAACCATATGTATAATTCCTTCTCATCTCATAAATTTTAGCAGACGTGATGCTTCAAATAAATGTGTATCTTTATCTAACTGCAATGTCACCTACACAAGCATAGGACAGATCTGTGGCTGGTACAAATGAGCAGTTTCATTAGAACCAATGAAACTACAGTGATCTACCCAGCCGAGATCTAACCCATTATGTGTTGCATAATACGATTCAGTAAATCTAGCTGCTTTGTCCTATGCTTTACTAATCTTACCCCTTTTTGTAATTTTCCCATCATTTATTTGAAGGTGCAATTTCTAAACCATGTATAATTATTTATGTTTTAAAAAACTGAAATCCAAAAACCTGTTAAATGAATAAGGCTGAAATATTACATGTACAGAAGTCAGGTGCAGCCATTCTTCATCCTCATTTAATCTGATGCATATTTAAGCCATTAACAATACTACTAAATGCAGGGATATAAAGCATGTTTAAGGGCTCCCAGTTATGGTTGCTGTGAGAAATGGCACTTTGAATTTTCCAACTTGTGTATATTGAAATTTTCATCCCCAAACCTGCCCTAACATAAGATTTGTGGGAGACATGATTGTATTTAATATTAAGAATGCTAACAAGAATCGCCACAGTGGCCAAGATGCTATGGAAATCAGGTAATAAGGGGACTGAGCTGTGACAGCTGATAGTGCCACATATTTTAAAGAGAACCCCCTTCACATGCCCAGCAAGAGATGCATCCTGAAGTAGTGTGCTGTGGAAGATCATCTTTGACAGGCTTTTAAATAATGTACCTGCACCGTCTGTTTTTGAACCAGGAGTTACTGAACATAACCCTTGAGATTTCACGTTTCTTCCGGTATTTGAAGTACAGCATTTCCACCTCACAGCAAGAAATTTTTTATGTCAAAACCAATAAATGTTCTTACTCTTACCAAATGATTTTCTGTCCTGGTTACAAGAAAACAGTATTATAGTGCCTTTCTTTATTATTAAAAAAGGCGTAGTCTGACATTTACAACATGTCCATAAACCTGCTGTTGAGTACAAAGAAGCACTTCTGTGGGTCACTTGGACTCTCCTGGATCTATTCTAAAACGTTGTTGTAAATGCATCTTTTCCGGTTTTGCTGTAATCCTATGATATTGTCAGATACACAGATCTAGGGAGAAAGTTTCTAACAGTTGCTCTGCATATCAGTAGTTTTGAATTAGCCAGTTAACGTCCTAAAATACAGGTAAATTCAGGAAAAACAAATGATTAGAAAACATGATGATTTTTATTCTTATTAACTAACTATATTGCCCCAGAGTATCTTTCAAGACAAGGATTAAAATTGTATCTTCTTTTTGCACAGAAATAAAGGAAGGACTAGTAGAATTTAAAGTTTAATTTAATTTTCAATCAATTATGTTTTAAAAGAAACTTGAGTGCCTTCAGGAATAGTTGCCTTGATTGGGTTATAATCCTTCAAATAGCATTGTTGTAACAGATGCAAACACTGTGGCACGTTGATCTCTAAAGAACTATCAGGTTAGAAAAGGACGGTTTGTATTTCTGTTGAGCAAAATTGGGCTTAGGTCCTGTGCAGAGAGACCTAGTGAGAGTCAGGGAACATAGGTGTGACCTATGAATATTTTGGAAGATCTGCTCCAGTAGTCCTCAGTGCTAGTGGTTGGAATGTGTTCCATGATGAGGCAACAAGAGGAAGACTTTGGCCAAATTCTGATATATTTGAACAATTCTGGAATGATCTTTTTTAAAAATAGGTTTGATTGCATTTTGGTAATATCAAGAAGCTACTTTGGTATAGCAGGTGTTCCATTCCTAAATGAAGTGAAAATTCCAAACTGATCCATTTAGATTTCTTTTTAAATATGTAAGCAAGATTTTGGTAGTGTTGGAGTGATGCTGTAGCTGTGATGGCCCAGGAAATGAGGCAAGGATTTTTGTGGGTGAAACAGCTGAATTGAACCAACTGCACTGCAGTTGAAAGCTTGTCTAAGTCTGTTCCAACCATGCAGTTGATCCAATAAAATATATCACCTGTATAAGAGTTTGTGACTCTCCTGGAAAAAAAAATATATAGAACAGTGATACCAAGTGTACCAGACTGGCATTTTATAGTCTTTTTATTCTACCTCTATGTAAATTTGCCTTGTACTGAAAAGTATAATCCCCCTCTACTCCCTTCTATCTTAAAAAACCAAAAAATGGACACATTGCATGTAGAATGGCTATTCTATTTCCATACCTGGTGGTAGTGTTTGCATTTTAGTTGGCAAAATTATCCGTATGTGTAAGGTGTTCTAAATTTTTCTGGGTGAAAGTTGTTATTTACATGCAAGGTATTCTTTAGTTATTGAGACTTCAGCCACATCTCAGTCGAAATGTATACTTTTTGAGAGAGGCAGGGTGCAGAGAGTACTTCTTGAAGCAATTTCAATTCATAGTTTCTAGGGTCGGAAGGGACCTGAGAAGATCATCTAGTCCGCCCCCCTGCCATGGCAGGAAAGAGTACTGGGGTCAAACAACCCCAACAAGGTGTTCATCTAACCTTTTCTTAAAAACCCCCAGGGTAGGAGCCTGCACCACCTCCCTTGGAAGTTGGTTCCAGACCCTAGCCGCCCTGACTGTGAAATAG